CACGGAGTTTTAAGCAAAACTATTTTTGTTGCAAGGAACAGAAGTTTTAACAAGGTAACTCACTTGCTCTGGTAAGTTATCCAAAGGGCCAAAAAGCCTTGGAAGGGGAAATCGTATTTGGAAAAATAGAAGGTCAAAGAAAAAGAGGAAGACAGACTCTCAGAGAGAATTGACATGGTGACTGTGACAGTGGGCTTGAACACGGTAGAGATTGTGAGCATTGTGCAGGGTAGGGCAAGGTGCCCTCTGTTATACACAGGGTCTCTTGAGTTGAAGTAGACCCAACAGCACACAAGAACAGCAAGAGCAACTCAGATTAGGGAAGGGGTTTATTATAAGATCAGGGAGCTTTGCCGCTAAGCTGTAGGGAGTTGAGCTGCTAACCCAACGGCTGTAACTCTCTGGTAGTTTGAATCCACCAGTGGCTCCACAGGAGAAAAGTGGAAAATTTCCTCTCATGTGATTGATTTACAGCCTCAGAAACCCAACGGAGAGCAAACTATAAGTCGGTTCTGACTTGACAACACTGAGTTGAGTTAAGTTTGAGATCAGCAGTTAATTTCCAATAGGGGACAGCCTGGAAATGTACATGAGTGAAGTCTGAAATCAGCAAGGCCTAAGAAGTGACAGGAGGAGAAAAGGATGTGGTTGAAAAGCACAGACCCCACCCTAAGGGCCTGGCCACAGCGTGGCTCTGACTGATGTCCTTGCACTCTGCATCCAGCATGGCCAGATCTTCCCACTTTCAAGGCATAAATCTTGGATTTGCATGTGCCATCTCCAATTTTTAGTGTGTTGGATCAAATCTGTTTAACATGTTGCTGCACACTTTTAAATTGACAACAGTGCTTAGAAACACATTTGCCGTCATTTGCGGCAACATGTTAAGTGGTGTAGGCAACAAATGAAGCACATTTGCAGGCTGGGATTGCCAGTAGCCTGCCAGCAGTAGGCAGCCTCTCAAAGATTAGGGGGTGAAGTCCACAGTGGACAAGGAAACTGGCAAGCCAGCAGGGCCCTGGGCAGCCCCTCTTTGCTCTATGCTCTTCATTCCTGCCCCTCTCTGAAGAGCAGCCTCCATCTGCTCCCTCTTGGCTCCTGGGCTCACAGGACCAGGCAGATGGCTTTGATTCCCAGCGATTCTTTGAGCTTGTAACTCAGCTCTGCAAATTGGTTTGACTCAGCTGTTCAGCATCCCACTTCCAGATTTTCAGGCAAGGACTCTGGCCTCATTTACAGTTGGTTCCAGTTGAATCATTTTAGTGTGATATAGAGCAACAGACATAACTGCTTAAACCTACCCTTTCATCAAGTGGGACAATTGCTGAACTTAGGGGCAGTAAGATTTATAAAGACCTAGGAGGTAGAACAGAAGTAGTGAACATGTTATTATGCCAATTAACTGGGATGTTTCATGAAACATGGTGAGTTGATCTTTGAGAAAGATACCAAAGAAAGACCCCAATTTAGGGCTTTCCTTGGTCAGGCGCGACCCCGGGCAGCTCACACCAGAAGCACTTGATGCAAACACACGAGGCTTTATTGGCGGAACTCTGGGTCGACTCGTATCTCTCACAGGAGACAAGGGAGTCGACCCTGAGCAGAGAGAGCAAGGGGTTTAGGGGTTCTTTGGTGTGGAGATTGCTCATTGGCTCTTCGGAAAAGCGAAAGTTCAGTCCCAGGTCAGCCACTTGCTGTTGATGCCAGTTAAGATACAGGGTGTTTGTTCCCTTTGTGGTCGGCTAGTTCCTGGAACATAAACGTTTACACAAGACCAAAAGTACAGGTTCTTTTTTTAATTATTATTTTATTATTTTTGTGTGCGTGTACCGTCAAATCAGATCTGGCTGGTACAGGAGGAGATTGCCCCTCCTTCTCCTGCAGAGCATCTGGTGGATTCGAACCGTGCACCTCTGGGATTGTAGTTGCAGCTTCTTGCCACTAGGCCACCAGAGCTCCCCCCAAGTACAGGTTCTTACAACACTGGGTGTGGGGACATTGTTCAAAAATTTTTCTTTCACCAAGAAAGACAATTCATTGAGAGAAAGGTAATGTTTTCCCAATTCATCAAGCTGCCAAGAAGACACTGAAATTATTGTTGCAGACAAGGTTGAGGGAGGAAAGCAGAAAGGTTAAAAAAATAAAATGAAGGAATCAACTAGAAGTTGAAGAACTTCTTCATGTCACTTGAATTCTTAATCTTGGGATAGAATCATGGGGAAGCCACTTTCAGAAGTTTTTTTGCTCTGGTCACTTAGTGGTAAAGAGTTGTGCTACTAACCTAAAGGCATGTGGTTCAAATCCACAAGCTGTTTTGCAGAAGAAAGATGGGCAAGTTCCTTCCCTGGGCTTTACAGTCTCTGAAAGCTCAGTGGAGTTGGCTCCGACTTGATGGTACACAACAACAACAACATTGTTTACAAAAAAAGACATGAAAATGAATTTGGGTCTGAATGCAGACGTCTCCAATTCCATATACACGGCTGAATTCAATGTGGTGTTGTTGCTAAGGGATTTCTGTGGATATCTGGATTGGACTAGTAGAGGTCACACTCCTTGAAGAATTTTAGGGCAAGTAAAGATTATTTTGGTCAAAAATGGCAATGTTTTTGGAAGTTTCTTTTACCTCATGAACTTTGTAAAATATCCTCAGCCTTAATATGACTGAGGCTGTTGTTGTTGTTGTTGCTGTTGTTGTTGTTGTTAGGTGTCCCTGAGTCTACTAAGAATTATAATGACTCTATGGGTAATCAATCTGAATCCTGCCCTATTCTGTGTCATCCTTATCATCTCTGATAAGCTTGAGTCCACCGTTACAGTGACTTGTCAATCCACCTCATTAAGGATCTTCCCTTCTTTTGCTGACCCTTCACCTTTCTAACCATGATAGCCCTTTTCCAAGGACATGCCTCTCCTAATAACATGCCAAACAAGTGACAGAATAGATGACTTTGAGTTGAGTCATTGGAGAAGAGAACTGAATATCCTAGAGAATGCCAAAAGAACAAACAAATATGTCTTGGAGAAAGTGCAACCAAGATCCTCCTTGGAGGCACGGATAGTGAAGCTTTCTTTCACCTATTTTGGGCATGACTGTGAGTAGGAGAGAACTAATTCCTCTTCAGTGTGCTTATAGAAAAGTTAGGAAAGAGGTCAAATGAGTTCTTTTATAACTGCTTCACCCCAATTTGAGGTTCATTGTTGTGCAATAGTTGAAAGTGAGAATCTTTCTGACTCTGAGTCTCCCTCTTGTACCCTGCCTAGATGTTGGCCTCAGGTTATCTCTCTGTGCCTTGGTGTCCTCAACTATAAATGGAGTAATGGCCACCACAGAGGGTTCTTTGTGAGGATTAGAGTAATGTCTTCAAGATTTAGGACAGAGCTTGGTGCCCAGCAATACTATAATAAATGTTCTTGTTGTTGACTCTCTTTTCCTTCTTAGCTTGGATCTGGCAGAACTCATCTTCATGATGGAATGCATGGGAAGGATAGACAGGGGAGCTTGGGATGGGCCTGGGATCGGGCAGGCCAGTGAGACCTCTTCATAGGATGCTGCTCACCTAAGATGCATGGAAGTTTCTAGGCTCTGTCCTTTTTATAACCTCCTTCTAAAACAAAACAAAACAAAAACAACAAAAAAAACACCACAAAACAAAACAAAACAAAAAACCAAGAAAAACCAAACCCATTGTCAAGTCATTTCCAATTTATTCCTTTCCCAAAAGACAGAGTAGAGCTGACCCATAAGATCTCTAACGCTATAATACTGCAAACTGCCACATCTCTTTCCCATGGAGCAGCTGGTGGGTTCACACAGCTGACCTCACAGTTAGCAGCCAAGAACTACATCACTGCACCACCAGGGCTTCTTTCACAAATTCCCAGGTGAAAATTAAGAGATTGAGACAGGTGACGTGGGATGGAGATTGGAAGGTCCATTTAGGGCCTTCAAAACCCTCTGAGAGTCTGTCCCACCAGAGAGTGAAGCTGGGAGAGAAGAGAGACAGTAACCCTACTCCCCTCACCCCCCAAAAGGAAGTGTGTTTGGTCGCTTTCATTTCCTACGGAATGGCTTCCTTGCGGGATTATTCTTCAGGTAATCCTTCCTCAGGTTATATGGTATCTACGGTGAGTGGCTGGGTGGCCTAGTGGCAAGAAGCTGCACTGCAGTCCCAAAGGCACACAGTTCAAGGCCATCAACTGCTCCGCAGAAGAAGGATGGGCAGTCTCCTCCTTTGCAATTAACTGCCTCAGAATACCCACCAGAGGGTCAGCTATGGATTGGTTCTGACTCAACAGTACACAATAACAACAACATGGGACCATTCAGTGAACACATTGAGCCAGGTGGCATTCTGGACATGGAATAGATGTCCTATTTGACTAGTTCAGTGCCTCTTCTGTCTCCTCCACCCTCCAGCTTTCCATGTATCTTTCTATAATATAGTCTGTTACAGTCTCATCTAAAGTGTATTCCATGGCATTTGTTGGAACTCTTGGGGAAATAAAAGCCTCCATGGTAAGCTAGGTTTAGGAAGCTCCTAGGCCAAACAATATTGGTTGAATGCCTTGGTTGCAGAACTTTCCAGAACCTTTAATGCGTTGGCATGACTAGAAATCAAGTCACTTAAGCTCAACAAGCTTCGATGCTCTAGGCTCTGGGCAGCAGCTGGCTGGCCTTTTTGATATTCTGAACTCTTCTTCCTTCTTTTCGTCAAAGGTCTCATGGAATAACAGCCCATTGCTGTTCATCCTCTCAGGCCTGAACTGGGCTAAGGAACACTCTGGAAAGGGTGAGGAGAGTGCAGGGACCAGAGGAAGCCTGAAGTCAGACTGGATTTTCCTTTATGAACGAACTTCATGGTCTCCTCTCATCTCATATTTTTGTAGGGAAAAAAAGTCAAGGCTGAGGGTAAGCAGTCTTTTATAGAGAAGCACTTAATTACTTGGTTCAGGAGATTACACAGGATCTTTTATGTGGTACAGGGTCCCTGCAGTCATTACAGGTGAGATGGTGGCTTCCTGGACAACTTTCTTTCTTCCAGGACTTGTCCAAAGAGCCTGGTTGCCTCCAGGGCACAGCCCCAGTGAATGGTGAGCCCATAGCCTCCATGACCATAGTTGTGGATGACCTGGAAGAGGTAAGAGAGGAGGCGGCTGAGTCAGCAAGGAACAATGGAGAAGGGCTGAGGGATGCTTCCTGAGGGGTTCTGGGCAAAGCTTCTATGACCCTGAACTTCTCAGCAGCCTGATAAGATAGCTGTTGGTAAGTGCCATCAAGTCAAGTAAAACTCATTGTGACACTATAAACAGCCAACCTTAACCCTGCCCTATTCTATGATATTATCACCATCTCTGAAACATTCAAGCCCATTACTGAAGTCACTGTGTCAACCCATCCTATTGAAGGTCTTCTTCTCTTTCACTGACTCCCCCCCATTTATCCAAGAAAGATGTTGTTGGTATTATGTGCTGTCGAGTCACTTGCGACTCATAGTGACCCTGTGTACAATAGCTCTGAATTCTGCTCTATCTGAGCCAATCTCACTGTCCCTGACATACGTACCCCTATTATTCCAGTTACTGTGTCAATCCATCTCATCCAGGATCTTCCTTTCCTGTGCTGTCCCTCCACCTTTCCAAGGACCAGTCCCACATGCCCAAAGTATCAAAATCCTAGCCTCCAAGGAGCAGTCCGATTTCACCCTCTCCAGGACAGATCTGTTTGATCTCTTGGCAGTCCACGACACCACAACTCAAAGGCATTAATTCTTCTATCATCTTTATTCATTGTCCAGCTCTCTGATGCATACTAAGTAATTGTGAGGACCATGACTTGAATCAGGCATACCCTAGTCACTAGACTGAGATCGTTGCTCCTCAGTACTCTAGAGAGGGCCCTGACAACAGACTTTCCCAATGCAATTTATCTTTTTATTTCTTGGGTACTCATACGAAGAGTGTTGATTGTGAAGCCAAGCAAGCTGAAGCTATTAACAATCTCAATCTCTTCTCCATCTACCATGATTTTGGCAATTGACCCAGGGGTGATAATCTTTGTTTTCTTGATGTTATGATTCAATTCATATTGCAGATTATAGTCCTTGACCTTCTGCAGCAAATACTTCAGGTCCTCCTTGATTCAGCTAGCAAGCACATCATCTGCACAGCACAGGTTGTTGATGAGTCTTCCTCCAATCCTGATGCCACATTCCACTTCATAAAGCCCAGCCTCATAAAAGTCATTGCAAAAACAGAGGAAGAAGAAAAGACCAAGTTGGATGTTAGAAGAGACTCTGAATATTGCATGAGAGCACCAAAAAGCCAAAGCAGAAGGAAGAAATCAAGAAGTTAAGGAATGGAATAGAAGATTTCAAAGGCAGCACGGGAAGACAAAGCAAAACATAATGAAATGTACAAAGAACTGGAGTTTGAAAATCAAAAGGGATGACTGGCTCTGCATTTCTTAAGCTGAAAGAACTGAAGAACAAATTCAAGCCTTGAGTTGCAGTACTTAAGGAAGGATTCTATGGACAGAATGTTGAATGATCCAGGAAGCATCAAAAGAAGATGGAAGGAGTACACAGAGTCACTGTACCAAAAAAGAATTGACTGACACAGAATTTAATGAAATAGCATATGATCAAGAGGCAATGGTGATGAAAGAGGAGGTTCAAGCTGCTCTGAAGAAATTGGCAAAACCCCAGGACTTGATAGAATACCAATTGACATGTTTCAACAATTAGATACAGCCTTAAACACGCTTACCAAGTTGTGCCAAGAAAGCTGGAGATCAACTCCCTGGCCAACTAACTTGAAGAGATCCCTCTGTATCCCATTCCAAAAAGAGGTGATCCGACACAGTATGGAAATTGATAAACAGTATCACTAATATCACACCCAAGCAAGATCCTACTGAAGATTTTCCAAAAATGATTGGACTCCCAGATGTGCAACCAGGGTTTAGAAGAAGCTGTGACACTACATTTTAGACAATGTCTGATGGATCTTAGCTGAAAGCAGAGAGTACCAGAGGAATGTTTATCTGTGTTTCATTGGCTATGCAAAGACATTTGACTGTGTGGATCACAACAATTTGTGGTTGACTCTGAGAAGAATGGGAATCCCAGGACACTTAATTGTACGTAGGCAAAATCTATACTTTGACCAAGAAGCAGTTGTCAGAACAGAGCATGGAAATGGCATAGTTAAAAATCAGAAGATTTACCTCGGGGATGCATCCTCTCTCCATAACTTTTCAATCTAGATGTGGGACAGATCATTAGGGAGACTGGACTTGATGAGGTGGATGTGGCATCCAAGCATGAGACCCCCTCCAGTGAGTAGCTTCATGTAGCCTAAAGTCCAAAGTATCAAAAACTAAACTTTGCCAACTTTTCCTCCAAGGAGCTTTCTGGCTGCTGCACTTTCTCCAAGACATATCTAATTGTTCTTTTGACAGTCCATGGGATATTCAGAACTCTTCTCTAGCACCACAAGCCAAAGGCATCAGTTCTTCTTCTGCCATCCTTATTATGTTACCCTTTACTGTCGTCCAGCTTTTTGACGCATAGCAGGATAAGATAGTGGGAGCCTTCAAAAGGGCAGGAAGGACATTGTTTCGGGGGGCTGAAGGATAACACCCTAGACTCTTTTCTTTCCTCCCCTGCCCCAAGTTTCTTTCTTTTTTAAAAATTTGTATTCTTCTCCTTTTTTTTGGAAATAGACCAACAAGGCACATACTCAGCCCAGGAAGAAGAGTCAGTTCGTAGACTTCCCCTTCACATTATTGCCAGTTTCCCAAATCATCATCCTCCCTCCCATCATGCTGTGATGAACCCTCTATGTCGGTGGATTGACTCTTTTGCCCACTATGAGAGGAAGGAGAGGCAGGGAGACCATATACACGGGTCTAGTTAATGTGCTAATTCTTTTTGGGAGGTAGAGGTAAGACTTTTGGGGCCTTCTTCAAGGTTAGTACCATTAGTGGGGAGTTCAGCTTCATATGTGACTCTCCATTACCTTCTGAACTTGATGTACCACTGACCCCATCTTCCTGCAAACGCACATACTGCTTTATATACGCATGTGTGACATATCCTATGTATGCGCCCATACACACCTGCTTATATGCATACACAGAAAGTCCTTACATGCATACACACAACTCTTGCATATACACATACATACATGTTTATAGACACATATACACACATACCCAATATGATATGATATATGGTATGGTATGGTATGGTATGGTATGTTAAGATACAGTGTGGTGTGGTGCGGTGCAGTGCGATGCGATGCGATGCGATGCGATGCGATATGAAATAATGTACCTGGGAGGAGCAGTGACCCAGGGAGAGAGGATTAGGTGGGATTGCTTTCCTGGTAGACACCCATTCACCACGTCTTTCAATCTGTCCCTTCCATGTTTTCATTAAGCCCATTTTCCTACCTCATGAAAGAGATGCATGAGAGATGATGTTGTTAGTGCCATCGAGTCAAGTAGGACTCATAAGCACCCTGTGAACAAGTCTAAACCCTGTTCTACCCAGCACCATCCTCATCACGTCTGACATTGCTGCAGTCACTGTACTGATCCATCTGATTGAGAGTCTTCAGGTGGAGACCTTTCCAAGCATGATGCCCCCCTCCAAGGACTAGCCCCTCCGAAGCATTTGTCCAGAGTATGTAAAATGAAGCTTCGTCATTGTTGCCTCCAAGGAGCTCTCTGGCTGTGCTTTCCCCAAAGCCTATTGGTTCACCATGAAATTAGCATCCAGGAAATAGCTCTGAAGTGAGAGAAAGGCTCTAACTGTACCCAGCCCTGCCCCCCAGCAGTGGTGGGACTCAGACAAGTGGCTTCACCTTCCTGAGCTCCAGCTTACTTGCCAGAAGCCTGGGGAGGATAGACTCTATCCCAAAGAGCTGCCAAACTTGCCAATATGTCTGGCACAAGCTAAAGACTGAATCAGTAGCTATTTTCCTTCTACTCAACCACAGGCCGGACCTGCCCTTTGACTTTGCCTTATGACTTTGAGCATAGTCTTTCCTATTGCTGGGACTCACTTTCCCCAATTTAAGCAGACAATCAGCCATCACTCCTCTCACTTCCAGGTCAGCCGGAGGTCAGAGCTATCTCGCTGGAGGTGAGGGAGATTGCTTTCCTTGTCAGCTGAACATACCTCTGTATTTGAAGGTCCAAAGTGAAGCTGTTCTCTTTCCAGGCGAATCTGGGAGCGCACTGGCCGGAGGCCGGTCCATTCACCAACGATTTTTGCATCCTGGGTGGAGGGGAGGGGGCAGAGTGTTAGCAGCTTTTTTTCTGGATAGTTTTTCCTTTGTTGATTCTGTCCTTTGAAGGTTGGAGGGAGTTTGTGTTTGTAACACCTTTACCATCATCACAGCCACTTGTATTAGCTATCACCACCATCCCCTCATTTACCAGCTCCTAACATCATTCGTCATTAGTTATTTTCTCCACCAACTCTATCACCTGCTCCACCTTCGTTAACCACCACCACCATCAACCATCACCTGTAATAGCATCCTTACTCACTGTCACCTCCCCAGCCTCGTGCTCATTCTCAAATATCTTCATCACCATCCATCCTGGCACCCTTCCACCCACCCACGCTCAGCACCACCAGGACCGTTATCCTCACCAACAGGTAGGAAGGAACACTGAGGTTTCTCTAATAAATACATCTTCTTGTGAAGACAAAGGAAATTCTGGGATGTTTCCTCATGAGACAGCTCTCTCAGCCACAGCCTGGTAAATGTCATAGTCCATAGCAGGGACTTTCCCACACACAGTCAGATTCTGGAATGTTCTATAGTCACCGGGCTGGGATGAATGTGCCCAATTACCTAAGGAGCTGGATCTCCCCCTTCTCAAGTTTGGAAGATTACAAGCAAAATATGGGGACCCTGGTCCAAGAGAGTGGTAGCCCCTCCCCATCATACCTTCAGAGAGGGATCCAGGCTGCAGCAGCCTTCCCAAATGGTTCTGTGGTCCCGAATGTCATTTGTCTCTTTCCAGTTCCCCAGCTGGAAGATGCCTCCAAGAGTTACTTTCTGAAGCCTATGTAAAGGTGAGGGGTGATGGTGAAGAGAAACAAAGCCTTTGAGATAGATTAAGGTTCATTATCATGTTCATCCATTCAACACCATGGCTGTGCAGACAACCACGACCATCAGCATTGTTGTCTCTGCAATCTCATCACCACCACCCCCGCAACTGCCACAGTCCTCACCAACAATAACCACCACCTCCAGTTCCAGTATTATCATCGCCATTAATATTGTCACCTCCACTAAGGTCATAGTCTTCACAATTGCTTGCTATGTGTCAGAAAGCTGGATGATGACCCGGGATAATAGGAGAATTGATGCCTTTGAGCTGTGGTGCTGGAGAAGAGTATTGCGTATACCATGGACTGCTAGGAAAACAGGTTCGTCCTGGAGAGGGTGAGACCAGGTTGTTCCTTGGAGGCAAGGATTCTGAAGCTTTGTCTGACATATTTTGGACATGTTGCCAGGAGGGAGCAGTCCTTGGAGAGGGACATCATACTTGGAAGGATGGAAGGATGGCACAAGAGAGGAAGATGGGTTGATACAGTGACTGGGGTAATGAAGGTGGGTGCATCAGAGACAATAAGTTTGGCTAAGGAGAGAGCAGGTTTCAGGGCTATTGTACACAGTGTTGCTATGAGTTTCAAGTGACTCGACAGCACATAACAACAACTAACAAAGTGATCTTCACTATCACTTTTACTGCCACCAATAACATTATTTTCATTAACCCTAATCATCATGTCTACGGCAACATGGGCATCACCACTGATGGTGTCATCACTACCACAACACTGCCACTGCCTTTGAGCCTCTTGTGGCTGCTACATTATTAACACCGTCACTGACAGTGCTGTGTCCCTCAACACCCGCGCCCTCCTCCACTTCCAATCATCACCATCGTCAGCATTGAGCTTCTCACTAGTAACCACCTCAGTTCACCAGCACTAATATCACCTCTCTCTAATCCTTATCCATATCATCGTCCCTTCCTGAACATCAACTCCTCTCTCTCCAGCCCTACTGAGGAGGAATGATGTCAGTTTGAGGACTAAAGTGCACTCAATCCAGGCCTTCGTCTTTTCAATCACTTGCTATGCATCCAAGAGCTGGACAATGAATAAGGATGACAGAAGAATGGATGCCTTCGAGTTGTGATGTTGGAGAAAAATACTGACTATCCCACGTCCATGCCAAACAGATAGATGTGTGTTAGAGAAGATACAGCCAGAGTGCTTCCTGGAGGCAAAGCTGATAAAGCTTCATCTCACAGGCTTTGAGCAGGTTGTTACTGTTGTGTCCTCTAGCAGGTTTCCAGAGGCAGTTAATTGTACAGAGGAAGGCTGCTCATCTTTGCCCACCATGAAAGGAGAAGAGCAGCTGATGGATTTGAATCATGTAACTCTGGGTTAACAGAGCAACTCCTTACGACTAGGCCACCAGAGCCCCCTAAGCATGTTGCTAGGAGGAGCTAGTCCTTAGAGAGAGATATCACGCTTAGAAAGGTGGAGGGTTGGTGAAAGAGAGGAAGACCCTCAACCAGATGGATTGACAAAGTGGCTGCTGAAATGGGTTTAGTGTGTCAGAGATTGTGAGGATAGAACAGGATGTTAGAGTTTAGATCTGTTGTTCATAGGGTTGCTGTGGGTCATACTCAACTCAATGGCACCTGAGAACAACAACAACAACAATATTGTCGTCTTGTCAACACCACCAGCATCTTTTCTGAAGGTGGGAGGTCCTTTTCATTTTTATTGTGATTTGAATGATGTCCACAAAGCAAATTCTTTTTCCATTCACCCACTTTGTTTTATGACAATACCACATTTCAGAACTGTTTCATTACAATGTGCACAATGTAGTCATACTTTCCCCACTTCCTTCCTACAATCCTTCTGTCCTATCCCTTCCTGCCTTCAGGGATTCATCCTCTGGCAAATGCTGCTCTTTTGACCTTCTATGAGTAGTTTTTCTAATGGTGAATGCCTCCCTGGTGTTTTTAATCTCCTTAAGCCCCTATTTATTGTTTGACTGGAAGGTGAATTTTGCTTCAGCTTTAGAGGATAACAAAGAATTGTATTCTTTTTTTTTTCCAGCTTCCTTGTATCTTTATTGAAAATTATCAGGAAGTAAGGATTACATTCTTGAGGGTTCCACCAGTGTCTATTAAACCAGTAAGGCTAGCCTGTATTATGTTTTGTAGTTTCATTCCACAATTTCCCCCACTCTTTCTAGGATCTTTTCATGCGATTCCTTTTATTGTGATACCCAGGCACCAGCTCATTCTTCTGGTCCAGAGTCTCAGGAAATTGAGGTTTGTTATGGTCCATTATTAGTCCATTGAGCTAACTGTGTGAATACATCTTTGCTTTTCATCCCTTTTCTTTGTTTCAGATAGATAGAGACCTACAGTTACATCTTAGATGACTGTTCACACACTTTTAAAAAAAACTTACACATTTTTAAGATTCTAATATCTACTTGGTGCCTTTGAGCTGTGGTGCTGGAGAAGAGTATTGAATATACCATGGACTGCTAGGAGAACAGGTTCATCCAAGAGAGCGTAAAACCAGAATGCTCCTCGGACATGAGGATTCTAAGGCTTCATCTGACATACTTTGGACTTGTTACAAAGAGAGATCAGTCCTTGGAGAGGGACATCATGATTGGGAAGGTGGAGGGACAATGCAAGAGAGGAAGACCCTTGATGAGACGCATTGATTCCGTGACTAGAGTAATGGGGGTAGGTGTGTCAGAGACATAAGATTGGCACAGGATAGAGCGGGGTTCAGAGCTGTTGTACGGGGTCATTATGAATCACACAGGATTTGATAGCACATATAACAACAACTTATCACAATAGGATGTAGACCATTGTTTTTGTAGACTATTTTACACCAATTGACCTTGATGTCTCCCATGACACTGGTCCCAAGGCACTAGGACCAGTGCTTATTCTCTCAGGAACCATCAGCATTTTAAGTACCATCATCACCTCCCCTATTCATATCAAAACACCACCATCAACCGTGGTCACCATTCCCACAGCCACACCCATTGTTGATATTCCTATCAACTCTAATGGCATTGCCATCAACAATTGCAGCTCCTGTGTCCAACATCCCTACTACCGACATCCAAAAGCATTCGAACATTCAAGTTTGACCCTGACCAAAGCTCAGTTCTGCCTTCCTTTGGGATCAAATGGCTCAAACTCCTTCAACATACATTGGAGGAAAAACAAATGAAAAGGCATCCCTTTGTCTACCCTGGGCCAGTCAGCTTTTTACCCTGGGATGATGTACGGGGACTTGTAGATGCCATTGTCCGGATCATGAGTGATGACAAAATGCTTCATCCAGGGAGCATCAACCTGTTGATGGAGGAGAGAGAAACCTCATCAGAGGAGCTCGATCAGGGCTTCCTCCTGCCCTTGCTCCCTGTGATGATTGGATGTTCTGAAAAAATTGCCAAGGGTACATTCATTAGCCCTCCAATGGCCCCTCTGTCCCAAGTCCCCACCTGACTGCTTGCAGCAAGGGCCACTCTGAATGAGAAACACTTCTGCCCCCAAAACAACACATTCTCCCCCGCACAGCCACAGACAGGACCCATCATGTGTGTAGACACATACATACACTTTCCCCTGTGTCACGAAGGGGTGTGCCCATTGATACTCATGTGTGTACACAGCCAAACACCCCCATGAATGCACAGAAGGATGCTTTACATGTAATCTGTATAGGCACACACGTGCAGCCCCAAACACGAAGGAGTGCCCAAGCACATTCTCTTATGCTGTCACATATGCACAAACAGGCATGTGCTCGTACACATGTTCACACATGCAGTGGGAGGCTGTGAGGAATAACGGTTAAACAGGCTCTTACATGAGACTGCCTGGGGTTTTGTTCCAATGGCATTACTCATTCTGTGTGAATTTGTGAGTTGGTCAACTCCTCTGGGCCTCTGTTGTCATTAGGTGCCATTAAGTTGAGCACGACTCAGTGACCCTATGAATAAAAGATCTGAACCCTATTTTATCCTGCACCATCCTCACACTTCCTGACACACAAGAGCCCATTGCAGCAGTCCCCCTGTCAATCCACCTAGTTGAGGGTCTTCCTCTCCATCGCCGACCCTCCACCTTTCCCAGCATCATGTCCTTCTCCAAGGAATAGCCCCTTCCAGCAACATGCCCGAAGTAGATGAGTTGAAGTCTCATCATTCTTGCCTCCAAAGAGCACTCTGTACGTACCCTCTCCAAGACTGTTTGTTCTCTTGGCTGTCCATGGGATGTTCAGTGCTTTTCTCCAGAACCACAGCTCAAAGGCATCAATTCTTTTTTCTGTCATCCTTATTCATTGTCCAGGTCTCAGATGCATAGCTAGTAATCGGAAAAACTATAGCCTGCATCAGACGCACTTTAGTCCTCAAACTGACACGACTCCTCAATAATTTGGAAAGGTCCCTAACTGTAGATTTCCCCAGTGCAATGTGTCTCTTTATCTTCTGACTGCTGGTACCAAAGGTGTTAATTGTGGATCCAAGCAAGATGAAGCTGTTGACAGTTTCAATCTCTCCATCCATCAAAACACTGCCTATTGGTCCAATGGTAAGAATCTTTGTTTTCTTGATATTTAGATGCAATCCATTCTGAAGGCTGAGTTCCATGATCTTCTGCATCAAGTAAGGGTTGAAGGAGCTCCAGTGGTTGAGTGGTAAGGAGCTTTACTGCCAACCCAAAGGCTAGCAGTTCAAATCCCCAGCTGCTCTGCAGGTAAAAGATAAACATTCTTCTTCCGTGTGATTTAAAGCCTCTGTAAACTCACTGAAGGGTCAACTATGAATTGATTCTGACTCAATGACAATGAACAACAACAGGTTGTTAATAATATTGTCAATATAGTAATGTTAATATTAACAATATTAATGCTAAGAATATATTAATCAATACAATAAAAGTGCATAATGTTTGCTACCACCCCACGCAAACATAGATGCCCATGCTTTACAATCAAGAAGAACCATAAAGGAGGAAGTTTGGGCTGTTGTGTTGGTACTTGCTATTCATTTAAGAAATCTGGTAAGGAGTTGCTCTGCAAACCCAAAGGCATTCGGTTCAAATCCACCAGCCATTCTGTCGTAAAAAGATGGTTAATCTCCTCTCGTGAAATTTACTGCTTCTGAGTGGATGGCACATCATAACATAACATTCCCAGAAGGCACAGGGGCTATAAAATGGGGCAGGTCATGCCTGTTTATAGGCTTTCACACTGGCTAATTTTCAAAAAAAGTTGATCACCAGGCCTTTCTTTCGATTGTCTTGGTCTGGAAGCTTATAGGTGGCAGTAGGAAGCAAACGTTGTCATTGCGTGCCATCAAGTCAGGATTGATCCATAGCTGACCCTCTGGTGGGTTTTCAGAGGCAGTTAATGGCTTGGGAGGAGAGTTCCCATCCTTCTCTCACACAGCAGATGGCAAATTCAAACTGTGGGCCTTAAGGCTGACAGCACAATTCCTTATTACTAGGTCACCAGAGCTCCCTAGACAACACGTAAGTGCCTGGAATGTGGGGTCAGATGTAGCTCCTGCTGGGAAGAGACAGCCAGCTCTAATGGGTGTTCCTGACTCAGCTACTATCTTTCGGGATGACATAAACATGAAGCCACCCTCTTCCCATCAACAAAAACTCACCTTAATGATCTGCCCCCGGCCTGGCTGCAAGAGGGGGTCAGGCTGCAGCGCGCCTGACCACACCCCTGTGCAGTTGATGATCACGTCAGCGCCCCCTCGCGCCACCTAACAGCAATGCAAAAGGCAGGCAGAAGAAAGGCATGAAGACTGAGGGAAGGCCGCCCCTCCCTCAAGACTTCTCCCCCACTGTGGCTCTAAATCTGCACCAAATACTCCATGAGACCCCAGAAAAATCCCCTCCATTCCCTGAGCCCCAGCTGTATCAGCCCTAAAGTGAGACAGGCATTGCCTGTTCAAAAGTTTGGGATTATAAAATAATAGAACCACTCTGGAAGACGGTTTGGTATTTCCTCAAAAAAGCTGAACACAGAAATTCTATATGACCCAGCTATCCCACTGCTTGGAATATACCCTGAGAGAATGAGAATTGAGGCACAAACAGAGATTTGTACACCAGTGTTCATAGCAGCATTATTCACCGTCACAAGAACATGGAAACAGCCCAAATGTCCAACCACAATTGAATGGATTGAGAAATTATGGTAAATTCACACGATGGAATACTACACAGCACACAAGAGCAATACTTTTGTAAATCATTACCTAATTTGGGAGGAACTGGAGAGCATTATGCTAAGTGAACTAACTCAGTCCCATAACTACAAATATTGTATAAGGCCACTATTATAGAACAACTATGATGATCCAAGGGAGAAGAGGGGGGAACAGAGAGGTGAGGATGGGTTGGGGGTAATCATAGGGTTGCACAATTTGATGAGGGGGGGTGAAGGAAATGGCAAAGATCTAGTGTGAAAAATGATGTATACAAACTTTGTAAATAAACTAACATAAAATAAAAAAAGAAATGTTTGTTTCCTTTTTTTTTTTTTACTAATTTTCAGAAATAGGTTGCCAGGCCTTTCTTCCTGGTCTTAGTCTGAAATCTCCACTGAAACTAGCCATGATGGGTGCTGAATTATCAGCATAGGTGGCAGTAAGGTGCAAGTGTCAGGTACATAGGGGTAGAGGTGCAGCTACTCCTCGAACGAAGTAATCAACTTCATCTTCTAAACTCACAGGTATAAATTTGCCTCAGCTGGTCACCAAGATTTCACTGTCACTTTGATCTCTGTATGAACCAAGGCAGAATTCTTCCAGAATTGAGAAAAAGCCTAGAGCTTAGGAAAGACCCAAAGGGATCCCCCCAAAGAAGTAGAGCCCTCCCATTTTCTCTCTCCTATACTCATCTCCTTTCATCCCTTAAGCTCACCTCCTCAAAAGACTCCACTTTCCGAAGGAAGAATTGCACTCCCCTCTCAGTTAACCTGGAATGATAAGACACATCAAAAGGACACGCCAGTTTCCTTCCCTAACCTTTTCCCTCTGAGAGAGTGATAAGGGGAGCATTTCCCAAAGAACTTTCTGTAGGTATTTTCCAACAGGACACTCCTTGAACGACCATGTGGTCAATCCTGCTCATGAGAATCTTGCTCTATAAAACATCCCTGAGAATGAAGACCTAAAATAACGGTCTAAGCTCTTCATTGAGAAGATGAAAATGAGGGAGAACCCAAGGGAGAAGGGCTTGGTCAAGGTTATCTAGTGAGACAGTGTTGGGACTGGAACTTGAACCTGGGTCTCTTCACTTTTAACACAGCCCCAAAAAGGAGGGAGGCAACCTATGTTTAGCACATGATAAAATTATGTCTGAAAACTTAAGAGTCTATCTTCAATTATTATGTTAACAGCTTTAGTTTGCTTGGCTCCACAATCAAGACTCTTGGCACCAGCAGCCAGGAAATTAAAAGATGAATTGCATTGGGATAGTCTGCTGTTAGAGACCTCTACAAAGCAATTAAGAGCAACGATGTCAGTATAGAGGCTAAGGTGTGCCTGATACAGGTCCTGGTCTTTGCAATTATTTGTTATGCATCAGAGAGCTGGACATTGGCTGGGAATGATAGAAGGATAATTGATGCCTTTGAGCTGTGGTGCTGGAGAAGATTATTGAGTACACCATGGACTGCTAAGAGAACAAACAGGTTCATCCTAGAGAGGGTGAAATCAGGCTGCTCCTTTGAGGCAAGGATTCTGAGGCTTCATCTCATATACTTTGTGCTTGTTTCCATGAGAGACCAGTCCTTGGGGAGGGACACCATGCTTGGGAGGGTGGAGGGACAGCACAAGAGTGGAAAACCCTTGATAAAATGCATTGATTCAGTGACTGGGGTAATGGGGGTAGGTGTGTCAGAGACAATAAGATTGGCACCGGATAGCACAGGGTTTAGGGTCGCTATGAGTTGCAGGCACACAACAACAACAACAAGGGATTTTGGTGAGCTTGTCAATGTCACATATGAAAAGCTGCCCATGGGGAGCTCTGGCGGCCTAGTGGTAAGGAGCTGCAACTACAATCCCAGAGGCACACGGTTCGAATCCACCAGATGCTCTGCCGGGAAAAGGAGTACCAGTCAGATCTGATTTGACGGTACACTCACACAAAAATTAAAACAAAAGAAAGAAAGAAAAGCTGCCCAGGTGATTCTGATCTCTGAGACAGATATTCAGGTCTTTGTCTTTGTGCACCGTGGTGTTCAGGACCAAGGAGAGCTCCATTGGCCTAAGATTTTTTTCCTCAGGCTTTGCTGTTGCCTTACACAGAAGTAGCCCTTGAAAGAGGGAGCTCTGATGGCCCTATGGTAGAGTTGTCCTGCCAACCCAATGGCAGGTGATGGTTTGAGTCCACTAGTTGCTTGTTCATTGCTACAATACAGAGAGATAACTCTTGGAATAGGGAGTTCTGGTGGCTTAGTGGTAAGGAGTTGCACTGGCAACTCGAAGGCAAGTGGTTTGAATCCACCAACAGCTTCACAGGAGAAAGATGGGCAGTCTCCTCCTGTGCAATTTACTGCCTCTGATAACCTGCTGGAAGGTCAGCTATGAGTCGGTGTTGACTCCACTGTGATGAGGGAAGTGAGTGGTGACTTAGTGGTAACGAGTTGTACTTCAAGCTGTGGACAGCTGGCTTGAGTTCACCAGCCTCCCTGCAGGAGAAAGACAATCTCCAGTCATGCAATTTGTTGTTGTTGTGTACCATAAAGTCAGAACCAACCCATAGCTGACTCTCCAGCAGGTTTTCAGAGACAGTTAATCACACGGAAAGAGGTTGTTCATCCTTCTCCGATAAAGCAAGTGGCCTCAAACTACATGCCTTCAGGATTGCAGTGCAGCTTCTTGCCACTAGGCCATCAGAACCTATTGTAGGGTCAGCTGAGTTGGTTCCAACTTGACCTCCCATAACATCACCACCACCAACAGATAAAACAACAACATCCCTTGGACAAATCCTCTGCTGTAATCACGGCCCCTGAGAGATGCTTTGTTCAAGCTAAAAGCCCAAAGCTCACCTTTCAGTCAGCCACTCCAGGTAGTCCTTCCCTTCCAAAATCAGGCTTGTGTTGAACCAGCCATAGCTAGAGTCACAGCAGGCAAGAAATGAGAAGAAAGTGTCAGAGCCTGAACTATATTTGAAGGCTATCAGATGGTGATTAAAGTAGTCTCGTGTGAATTCCAAAGGGGACCTGAGTGACAGTTCCAGGTTGAGGGTGGAGGACTTTACAGATAGGACAAGGAAAGAATTATGTCAAACAAAACCATCCTTGACGTTAAGATACACAGTCAAGAGTGAGCTATATTTGTAGGGGATTCCGGTATGGGGTGAAGTGAGGAAAGAACAAGAGTGGCTGTCAAGAAAAGAGGAGAGAGGTCTAGGGCCATACAGACCCGACTGCGTGGCCTTGAGAAGTCACCTGATCTCTCTCAAGCTCAGTTACCTCGTTTACAAAACAAGATGATATGATGGACCTTGTAGGGCTTGGGTGTCAGAAACAAAGTGGTTGTCCATAGAAGCAAGGGGGGGGGGGGGGGGGGGGAATGGCAGTTATTGGGACTAGTCCTTGGGGGGAAAATATCATTCTGGGAAAGGTAGAGAATCCGAGAAAGAGATAAAGACCCTCAATAGGATGGATTGATACAGTGTCAGTAATCATGGGCTCAAGGGGTTGGTAAGATGGCACAGGTAGGGCACATTTCTGAACTATTATTCATAGTGTCACTTTGAGTCCTAGTTAACTCAACAGCGCCTACTGGTGGCCAAGCCCATAGGGAGTTGTGCTGCTGACTCAGAGGCCTCTCCACTCAGGAGGTTCAAATCCACCAGCAGCTTCTTTGAGGGGGAGGTGGACAATCTCCTCCCGTGTGATTTACAGCCTCAGAAACCCAATGGGTGGTCCTCTATGTGTCTGCTCTGACAACAATGAGGTCTTTTTTTTGTTTAATGTATTTTTTTTTAATCTTGTGATTATCACTGAGAGACTTAGACACCTTTGGGAGCTGAGCTTCCGAGATTTCATATCCTCTCCCCACTTTTCGGAGCCCTGCTGGCCCAACATTTAAGTGCTTAGCTGCTAATTGAAAGAACTGATGATTGGAATGCACCCAGTGACTCCTAAAGACAGAAAACTCTTAAAGTGTAGGAGCTCTGATGGACTAGAGGTAAGAAGCTACGCTGCAATTTCGAAGAATTTCCAATTCGCGGTTCAAATCCACTGGAGAAGGAGGGGAAATCTCCTTCTGTGCCAGTCGAATCCAATTTGATGGGACACAACGGAGGGAGGGGGCAAAAAGAAAGAAAAAACAAGGAAAATGCTTATGTGGTCATTCTGCTCTGTCACATGCACTTGTTATGAGTCAACTGAATGCCACTTCAAGAAACTACAACAATCTCACCCCACTTCCAGTTCAAGACCCAGCTTGGGTGATCTATCTCTCTCTGCAGGAGCTAGACAGAACAGCAGGGAACGGGAAGTACCAAGCGCCTTGGAATGGGACTGTAAGGTTTGTCTCTATCCTTTGCTTTCATCCACACAAGTCCATCTGGACTGTGGTGTCTCAGTCCCATCGTTCATGACAATAACCTAACCTGTAGTCTGGAAACATGTCCAACTCCTGGGGAGTCAGCTTCCGAAACGCCAGAACCTTATCCTTCCAGAAAGGATCCTGCAGAGGAAGGAAAGGAGCAGGGATTGGTGTAAATCACTAACAGCGGCTCCTGTGTGTCAGGCATTGTTGTATTTACTGATATAAATCCATTCCTTCCTTGCAATAATCCATTGAGGTAGACAGTATTCCTATTGCCATTTTACAGATTGACAAATAGAGGGTAAAGAATTTGAATATGGCCACACAATGATGAGCTGAGATTTGAACTCACATGCTTTGGCTCCAGAACCTATGTCTTAACCACTATACTAAAATAAGGATAAATAAAGAGTAGGAGGGAGGATAAGTGATAGGGCGAAGGTCAGAAATGGGGGAGAATGAGACAACATTGAGGGTCACCAAGGGGTGTCAGGTCACACAAGCTGGGCAGATGTGACACAGCATCACCACTATCACCTTGAACAGGTCCACTGGCTTCGCTCACACTGTTTTCTCGACTGTGGTGAAGGTGATGCTGTGAACGTAACTGAGACAATGTGGGGAAACCCTTAGTTGCATGGACCTGGCACCTGCTGAACATGGAGAGTCGACTGGAGAAGGAGAAGATCTGACTCACGAAGCAGCTGAGTCCATCCTCCAAGCCTGCTGGGCGTATTGGGCTCATCGCTGAAAATGCCCACATCTCAGCTGTCACTTCCTAGCTATGTAACCATAAGTTACTCAGTTTTTCTGCATTTCGGTTTTCTTATCTGTCAAACAGGACAACAATAGCGCTTAAACACACACATACACAGAACTGTCGTTGAATTGATTGCAATTTGTAGCAACCCTGTGTGTGACAGAATGAAACTGAGCTCCACTGAGGTTTTAATGTATTCTCTGGTGGCTCAGTAGCAAAGAATTGCACAACCAACACAAAGGTTGTCTCTGTTGTTATGTTCCATTGAGTTTCTTGCGACTCATAGGAACCCTATGCACAATACCTCTGAATGCTACCCTGTCCTGAGCCAATCTCACTGACTCTGACACACTTAGCCCCATTACCTCAGTTACTGTGTCAATCCCTCTCATCCGGGGTCTTCCTCTCCTGCACTGTCCCTCCATTCTTCCAAGCATGATGTCTTTTGTCCAAAGACTGGTCCCTCCCAGCAACATGTCCAAAGTATGTCAGAAAGAGCTTCAAAATCCTTGCCTTCAAAGAGCAACCTGGTTTCACTCTCTCCAGGATAAATCTGTTTGTTCTCCTAGCATTCCATAGTATATACCATGCTCTTCTCCAGAACCAGAACTCAAAGGTATAAATTCTTCTGTAATATTTAGTCCAGCTTTCTGATGCATACCAAGTAATTGCAAAGACCATGGCCTGGATCAGGTGCACCTTAGTCTCTAGGCTGACACTGTTGCTCTTTAGCACTCTGCTCAGTCCCTGACAGCAGGATTTCTAACTACTGATGCCAAGAATGTTGAGTGTGGACACAAGCAAGCTGAAATTGTTGGCAATTTCAATCTCATTTCCATCTATCATGATAATGCCAATTGGCCCAGTGGTGAGAATCTTTGTTTTCTTTATGTTAAGCCATATTAAAAACTTCAGTCCTTGACCTTCTGCACCAAATGCTTCAGGTCGTCCTCAGTTTCAGCAAGTAAGACTGTATCACCTGCATAATATAGGCTGCAGTTGAGTCTTCCTCCAGTCCATTAATGCCACATTCCTCCCCATAGAGTTCAGCTCCCTGAATGATCTGTTTCACATAATGATCGAAAACATGAGACAGGTCACATCCCTGACGCACTCCTTTCCTGATTTTGATCCATGAAGTGTTTCTTGTTCTATTCTGATGACTGCTTCCTGGTCTAAGTACAGGTTTCTCATGAGCACAATCATTTGTTCTGGGATTCCCATCTTCTCAGAGTTAGCCACAATTTGTTGTGATCCACACAGTCAAGTGCCTTTGCATAGTCAATGAAATACAGATAGACATTCCTCTGGTGCTCTTTGCTTTCACCTAAGATCCCTCTGCATTCACTATGATGTCCCTAGTGCCACAGCCTCTTCTAAACCCAGTTTATACTTTTGGCAGTTCTCTGTGTCCACCAGCTGTTGCCCTGGAGAAGGATGGACAATCTCCTCCTGTGCAATTTACTGCCTCTGAAAACCCACTGCAGGGCTTTTGCTGAGGGTCACAGAAGGTTCTGACTCGATGGTACACAACAATACCAAAACAACATCCTCATGGAAGAGGCTCGGGGGGGGGGCAGGATGTGAAGCATATTACATGTTGCATTGCTAACTAAAGGGTTGATGGTTCAAATCCCTGGCTGTGCCAAGAGAAGAAAATGGTCAATCTCTTCCCATAATGACCTAGTCTTGGAAACCTGACAGAGAGTCATTGTGAGTCAGGATCCACTTGGCAGCAGGGAAAGTGGGTTTGGTTTGGTTTACTTTATCAAATAAAAATAGGTCATCAGGCTTTTCCTTTGAAGCACTTGGGGAGCACTTGAACTTCTAGAATTTTCATTAGTAACTAAAGCACGTTATTCATTCGTCCCACCCATTCTTATTACTTCTAGAATTTTCATTAGTAATTAAAGCACGTTATTCATTTGTCCCACCCATTCTTATTTTCTTTTAAAAAATTAGTCTTTTAATTAAATGAGCATCTTTTTTAAGAATAAAATTTTTATTATATCCTGGTTTCCTTAAAAACTTGCATATGTTGTTTTTCACACCAGATATTTCACATTTCCTTTACTCACCCCTCCCTTCACCCATCAAATTGTGTGACCCTATGACTAAGCACCTCTGACCCCACCCCACCTACTTTCACCCCTCTGTTCCTCCCTTCCCCCCCTTGGATCCTCATACACATTCTACAATAATGGTCTCATACAGTATTTGTCCTTTTTGACTGAGTAGTATCTTTCAAAAAACTGAAGGTAAAAGTGGTGAAGAGAATGCAATTTTCTCTCAAACCAAATGTAAAAGAGGTGTGGTAAATATAAACAATGCCATTCTTCTGATTAAGTTTTTGTTGGAAAATTTAGTTGTTATTCCTTGAAAATATAAATGAGATGTATATATCCTTTACACAAACATGCAACATGTCTTTTATTGTTATCTTCTAAAAGACAAACATATATTTGAAATGCTTGTTTCATATCTTGTATGTTAAATATTTAAGAATCTAATTGATGTAAGCCTCAAACCTGCGGATGATAGATGAATCGATGCCTTTGAATTGTGCTGGAGAATAGTCTTGAACATATCATGGACCTCCAAGAAAACAAATAGGTCTGTCTCAGAGAAGGTGAAACCAAGTTTCTCTTCGGAGGCTAGGATTTTGAAGCTCTGTCTCACATACTTTGGGCACGTGGCCAAGAGGACTAGTCCTTGGAGAAGGGCATCATGCTTGGAAGGGTGGAGGGACAGGGCAGGAGAGGAAAACCCTGGATGAATTTAGGTGGGTCAGAGTCAGTGAGACTGGCTCAGGACAAGGCAGGCTTCAGAGCTGCTGTGCATAGGGTTGCAATGAATTGCACATGACTGGACAGCACATAACAATAATTGATGTAATTACAACTCTTTGGAGTTTTTCCACTTTAGGAGTAGAAAGTCAATCAATGAGTGAAAACCCAAACTTTCTGTAAATTTTCATTAAAAATCTGTTGTTGTTGTTATGAGCCAGTTGAGTCTCTTGCGACTAAATCCTGTGCCAACTGTACTGTCTCCGACTTCCCCCACACACACACAAAAAAAAATTGAAACTTGTCCTGAGACCAGTGTCTGAGGACTGATTCTTCACTGGTTTCATTGCTGAAGCCTAACCTGTTGCCACCAATTTGAGTCTGACTCCAGGCGAGCGAGCCTACGCTCTGCGGGGTAGACCTGCACTTCACAGACTTCACAGAGCTTTTAAGGTTACGACCTTCACAAGCAGGTTGCCATGCCTTTCTTCTGAGACACCTCTGGATGGCTTCACACCGCTGAGCTTTTAGTTAGTAGTTGAGTGCTTAAATAGTTTACCCAGCCAGGCACTTCTCAAAAATACCAAACCCAACCCACTACCTTTGAGTCGATTCTGACCCCCTTGGAGCTCATGGAGAGAGCAGGACAGTTCCCGGGACTTCCAAGGCTGTCAGTCTTTTCAGAAGCAGCTACCACGGTTGTCTCCCACGGAGCAGTTGGGGGATTCAAACCACCGACCTTTTGATTAGCAGCTCAAAGTTTATTTAATCTGTTGTGCCACCAGAGCTCCTCAAGGCGTTGTTGTAGTTGTGTACCGTCGGTTAAGTCAGAACTGACTCATAGCTGGCCCTCCAGCGGGTTTTCAGAGGCTGTAAATCACACAGAGATGGCCCCTCTTTGTGCTGGGGAGCAGCTAACAGACAGGAACCACGTGCCTTTGGATTGACAGCTCAGCTCCTCACCACTCTTAACTCTGCCTTATCACTAAAAGCCACTAGTTGTAAAGTGGTCAGAACAGGGCCTGGCATGTAAAAAGCTCATTAGAAGTTTCTGTGTTAGTATTTCACTCCATTTTCATAAAAAGTCCTATGATCTCCAGAGGCTCATAAAACCTTTGGGCTGAAGCAGTTCACAGCTGTCACTGCAGAACGTGCTTTACGTCTGCGCGAAGGGCGGCTCCCCCTGCGCATCAGACCCTTGATGTTCGCCGCCATAATACAGACCCTTAGAACCAAAATTATTTGAAAAGCAAGATTAGAATGTACCGTGAACCTATCTAGAGCCTAAGAGTCTTGTAACAAGGCTCTGGATTCTCCCCACATCTGACCCTGTGGTGGGGGTTCCTATCTATGTGCAAGGCTTTGTCCCCAGCCTGGAGCTCCTCTCACAGCCACAGACCCCTCACTTACCGGGACTGCTTCATGGAAGAGGTTGTAGCCTGAGATCAAGGCCAGGCCCATCTTCTTCGCGTTGGGAGAATGCATGTGGCCCAGGAGATAGTCGAAGGTCTGCAGGCTCCATTCCCTGGAAGGTACACCCCAGACCTCCATCACCTAATAGACCCAGCTGGACGGATCAGCTGGCAAGAGGCTGTGGCCAGGCTGGTGCTGACATCCCAAAGCCCAGAAATCTGTCACATTCTCACCAGAAAAGGCTCAGTTGTCTACAGGGCTTCCACCTTCCTCCACAAGCTTGGATATATGAATGCGTGTATATGTGTACTTGTAGGAATGTGTATAGGTGTACACATTGTGGTTGTTGTGTGGCATTGAGTCAGAACTGGCCCTTAGCTGACCCTTCAGCAAGTTTTCAGAAGCTGTAAATTGCACAGGAGGCAACTGTCCCACAGAGTGGACTTGAACTAGGTACCCTGAACTGGCAATCCAGCTCCTTACTGCTAGTCTACCAGCACTCCTTTATATGAATACATAAATTAGTATTGTATCTATTTATATATAAATATCAATTTATAGGATTTTGAAGCTTTGTCTCACATACCTGGGGCATGTGACCAGGAAGAAATGATTCTTGGAGAAGGTCATCGTAGTCAGAAGGACGGAGAGACAGCACAGGAGAGGAAGACCCTGGATGAGATGGATTGATAGAATAACTAGGACAGTGGGGTGGGTGTGTCGAAGTCAGTGAGACTGACTCAGGACAGGGCAGGCTTCAGAGCTGTTGTACATTGGTTGCTATGAGTTACAGGCGGCTCAACAAAAACAACAACAAATTAGTATTTCATTCTACTATTTTTGTATATATACATAGCTATACACATACATCTGGAAGCAGGAGTGGCATCCACTTTTCTAAACAACATGACTCTGGAAATGCTACGAATTTTGATAAATGACAATAGTTGTAGAGGGGCTTCAGGCCTTTTGTTCATACGGTCACTAATGAGTCATGCACGACTCGACGGCAATCAACAACAACAACAACAACATACATACAAGGGTGCCCTGGTTGCCGAGTGGTAAGAAGCTGAGCTGAAATCCCAATGGAATTCAGTTTGAATCCACCAGCTGCTCTGTGGGCAAAGGATGGGCAATCTCCTCCCGTGTGATTAACTGCCTCTGAAAACCCACAGGAGGGTCAGCTATGGGTTGGTTCCGACTCCGTGGCACACAACAGCAATATATATAAATATATTTATAGATGTATAAATAAAAAAGGAGCTCTGGCGGTGTACTGTGTTACATGTTATACTGCTAGCTGAATCTATCCCCCTCTGCTTCACTGGAGAACGATGAGCAGTCCCCTCTCAAGCCTTAGACACCCACTGAACAGTCGCTATGAGTTGAAAGGTAGTTGACGGCAGTGGATCTGGATTTTTAATGTGTCTCTGTAACATGTGTATGTGATATAGGGAGCCCTGTTGGCCTAGTGGTAAAAAGCTGCACTGCAAACCCAAAGGCACGTGGTTCGAATCCACCAGCTGCTCCGCAGAGGAATGGGCATTCTCCTCCTGTGACACAATTCATTTACTGCCTCTGAAAACATGCTAGAGGGTCAGCTATGAGTCAGTTCCAGCTTGACAGCAGACAACAGTGTGTGTGTGTGTGTGTGTAAAATTTGGAAAAGCCAGAAGTTGTGTTAAGACAGACAGAAACCTATCAGCGAAGGAAAACTCAGCTATTTCCCCCTAAAACGAGCAGTAGAGAAGTGGTAAGGCTCCACCTGCCCAAGGCAAAGCTTGTGAGAGCAGGAAGGGCAAGAGGACGCCTCACGCCCCGCTCTTGAAGGTTTCACGTCAGGCCAGATCTGAGCCCGCTCTGCACACTGAGCTCCGCCGCCCAGCCACTCTCGGGGACCCTGACTCACGCCTCCTGTGGGTTGCTGGGATTGGAGACATAGGGCTGCCAGAGGCCGGCGGCCACATCTGTGGTGGTGAATGGAGTGAAGCGATCTGCGTAGATCCTTATGTCCAGTGGTTGATGGACTGAGTGGTAGTGCTTGTGGATGCAGAGGGCTGTGGACAGCCCGATGACCCCAGCTCCGATGACCACCACGCGCATCTTGCAGTCCTGTAGGGAGGATGGGCAAGGGGACGGCGTCATGATCAGCTCATCACGGTCACCACCCACTACTGTGTACTTGAACAGCACTGGATACCACCAAACCCATTCCCACTGTGTGAGAGTCTCTGAAAGCCACTGTACCTTGGATGATTGTCTGCGTGGGAGTGTAGAAGTACTGCTTCAAGAACACTCAGTGGGAAGCTAGCTGAAAACAACAGAGTGCTTTCATGAGACCTCAGAAGACCCCAGAAGAGCACCTGTGAAGCCTTTGTTAATGGGAAACTGAAGTCCCTGAGAGCTAGTAGAAAATACAGACTAATGAGAAGCTATTGTCTGTGAGAATGTGCAGAAAATTAACTTTTTGTATCTTTGTTAGAATTATCTGAGTAAACTGTTGAAAACCCTGGTTCCTGGATGTCCAAAGATACATTCCTTTCTGGCTCCAGAGATCATTGTTAGATTTGTTATTTTAAGGTTTTTAAGATAATTGTTTATTGTGTAGTAAGAAGTATGGTTATTTTGATGGTAATGGAATTCTTGATTTTTTTTCTATATATGTTGAAAAGAATAAAGGTTTTTGCTTTTGGCTCTAGCCTACCCGGGGTGTCTGGCGCATTCGCTCTCTCTCTCTCTCATTTTTTCCACAGCAGCACCGTGTCCTCAAGTCCTTTCAGAAAATGGCAACACTGCTGAGTAGATCTAAACAACCACATGGCAGAGGGGAGGGCATCAGCTTCTCAACCTGTGATCTCTACAGATGCTGAATGCCTGATGTTTCTCCCTCAAAACAGCTTATAGGTTGTTTGAATCATCAACCTTTCAGTTATGGGCCAGGAGCTTAACCCCTGGGCCACCAGGACCCCTAGACATCATTTTTCTATTTGATCCTTACAGTAACTTCAGGAGGTTAAGAATAACTGTGGCCTCATTTCACAGGTGGAAAAAATGAGGCACAGGAAAGCAAGTCATTTGCCCAATGTCACGCAATTGAAAAGTGACATAGCTTTCTCTGAGCAGCCTTTCCTGACACAACTACCTTCCCCCAGGTGGGATTAAAGGCCCCACAGAGCTCTGGGTTGGATGTTGGCTGGGTGGTGTATAGCGGTTAAAACAATGATCTCTGGCTTTGTACCTCAGCTCCTTTACTTATTGGCTGTTCACCAAGATGCTCCAAGAGCCTTATGGATTTAATGTGTCCCCTGAAATATATAGTATAAATTTTTACTCTTATACATGTGGATATAATCTATCTGGGAGCAGAATTTTCTTTGTTTGTGAAACTGTTGTTATTATTGTATACCGTTGAGTAGGAACCAATGCAGCAGGTTTTCAAAGGCAGCAAATTGTATGGGAAGAGATAGCTCAACTTTTTCCCACAGACCATTTGGTGCAGTCGAACCTCTAACCGTGGGCTGGCATTGCAACTCCCTGTATCAGTGTAGGGGATGTCTTAGACCCATCACCTTTGAGATGTAAAAAGAGTAGATAAGGCACCAAGAGGGAGGGACACGGGGAAGAGGAGAAACAGGCCACATGCATGAGTAGTGGAAGTGAAAAGAAGACAAGGACCACCCCCTCCAGAGCAGCAGAGAAACACACCCCTCTCCAGACCTGGCCCCTGAATTCAGGTTTCTAACCTCGAAGCCTGTGAGAGAATATATTATTGCAATATTTCTGTTATAGACGCAAAGCAGAACTAATACAAATTGCACATTCTTCCATAAAACAGAGGAAATTATTCATACTTTAAGGGGTTGATGGGAGATTTAGCAAGATGACAGTTACAAAAGGCTTAACCCTGGGCCTGGTTCCGTCTGAAGTTGATGGCCTTTGCGGAGTACCTGCCACGTGCTGCCCCGTGTGCTGTGTATTGTGTGCCGCCCTGTGCTACTGAGCTCTCACAGGCCTTGCTTCAGTCACACCTCCCAGCATTCCTGTTGTCATTATTAGGTGCCACTGAGTTTGATTACAACTCCCAGCTAACCTCCACACAACAGATCAAAACCCGGTCCCGTCCTGTGCCATCCTCGTCACCTCCACCTGCCCAAACCCACTGTTGCAGTCACTGCATCAATTCCTCTTTCTGAGAGTCTTCTTCTCCTTCGCTCACCCCTACTTTTCCAAGCATAATTTCCTTTTCTAGACAGTGGTACCTCCTGACAACATGTCCCAAGTACATGCTGCTCTCCTGGTCTAGTGGTAAGAAACTGCACTGCAATCTCAAAGGCACATGGTTCAGATCCACCAGATGCTCTGCAGGAGGAGGATGGGCAATCTCCTTCCTCGCAATTTGCTGCCCCTGAAAACCCACTGGAGGGTCAGCTATGGATCAGTTCTGACCTTGACAGTGTACAACAACCCCCAAAAAGGGTCAGTCTCGCTGCACTTCCTCCATGCTCCATGCATCACTTCTTCTTTGGTCTCCCATATTCATTGTTCAACGTCCATGTGCATACGAAGCAATTGAAAATACCATGGGCCCTCCTGTTAGCCATTATTGTTGGAAAGAGCCCTAGTGGCAAGGAGCATGATGTTACAAGCTGCCAAACAAAAAGTCATCAATTGAAAAGACAAAACAAGTCATCAATTCAAAACTTCCAGAAGCTTCTAGTGAGAAAGATGAGCAGTCCCCTCCTGTGAAGATTTACAGCTTTAGACACCCAATGGGGGATCGCCATGAGTTGGCAGTGGGTTTAGTTTTTTTGGTTTTTGTTATTATTGGCATCATTTCTACAGATGAGGAAACTGAGGCTCAGGGGTGCAGTGACTTGCTTGAGATCACAGCCAGGAAGTGGTTCTGCTAGGACTTAATTTCCATTCACATAAACTCAATAGCTATTTATTCCTCACCTGTTATGGAGGGTGAGAGAAAGAGGAAGACCTTCAACAAGATGGGTTGGCTCAGACTCTAACAAAGGGCTCAAGGATCAGAGATGACGAGGATGGAGCAGGGTAGGGCAAGGTACAGACCTGTTATTGGGGGGTTGCTAACGATGTCAGTGTAAAGACTAAGGTGCTCCTGATCTGAGCCATGGTCTTCTTAATTACTTGCTATGCATCCAAAAGCAGGACAATGACTAAGGATGGCAGAAGAAGTATCGATGCCTCTGAGTTGCAGTGCTGGAGAAGAGTATCGAACATACCATGGACTTCTAAGAGAACAAACAGGTCTGTCCCGAAGAGGGTTAAACCAGGCTGCTTCTTGGAGGTAGGATTTTGAAGCTCTGTCTCACATACTTCGGGCACGTGGCCAGGAGGGACCAATCCTTGAAAAAGGACATCCTGCTCAGAAAGATAGAAGGTAGGCCCAAGAGAAGAAGACCCTCAACAAAACGGATTGACATAGTGACTGTGGCAATGGGGACACGTATGTCAGAGGCAGTGAGGCTGGCACAGGATAGGGCAAGGTTCAGAGCCATTGTAGTTAACATTGTAGTCAATGAAACGAACAACAACAACATGAGTCATAGTTGACTCCATGGCATCTAACAACAGCCACAAAATGACGTCCCTGGCTGGCACTCATTCGGGACAGTAGACCAAGTGCTGTGTCTGGCCCCACACCTCAACTCTTTACTCACACAACCCCTCACAGCCTGCTTTAAGGCACTGGCTGGCTGTCCCTCAGACATTTTCATAGTCAAGCAGCTTTTGACCTTGAAGCTGCTGGGCTGGCCCAGCCAGGAGATGTTTTGCGCGCTCCTGCCGAGGGGGAACAAGAGGACTTTTTGTGTTCAGAGTAGCCAAGTTCAGCTTCCTCTCCTTTTAACTCCAATTCCCTCCCCCCAGACTTTGCTCCTGGCAGCTCAGGCCCTCAGCCCTGCACCCAGGACATTCTCAATATGGCCTAGTTTTGAAAAAGGGGGAAGGACCAGCTCTGGCCCACAAGAACTGGAAACCGCTGGAGGATGTCTGCAGCCAAAATGGGGGCAGAATCAACAAACAGGAAGATACTGGTCTTCTGTAATGGGCGGGCCTTCAGCCACAGGCCTGGGCTTGACTGGGAGCAAACCCCTTGTGGGGAGGGGGATGTCCTCTTGCATCCAACATCTTCCTCTTTCGTGTTTATTTTGGGAGAGTCAAGCTCCTTATATATTAACTAATCCTCCCCTCAAAAAAGTCAACCTCCCTTCTGACTCATAGCTGTTCTTCCTTGGGTTTCCCAGGCTCATAGCCCTTTCTTTCCTGTCTTTAGGGGGAAAGACTGAAGAACAGCTGGTGGGCTAGAACCTCTGACCTTTTGATTAGCAGCGCAACACGTGACACAATCTTCCCCCAGGGCTCCTGTCCATAAAATCATGGCATTCCAAATTATGTTGAGCTTTGGTGGTAATAAGCTGCACTACAATCCTGAAGGCATACAATTCGAACACACCAGCTGCTTGCTCTGGGAGAAAGATGGGTAATCTCCTCCTGTGTGATTTTTTGTTATGTGCCACTGAGTAGCCTGTGACCCATAGTGACCCAATGACCCAACGTACAACAAACAGCTCTGAACTCTGCCCTGTCCTGAGCCAGTCTCACTAATTCCGACACATCAACCCCCATTGCCCCAGTTACTGTTATCAGTCCATCTCATCTGGGGTCTTCCTCTCCTGTGCTGTCCCTCCACCCTTCCGAGCATGACATCCTTCTCCAAGGACCGGTCTCCCTTGGCCATGTGCCCAAAGTATGTGAGACAGTGCTTCAAAATCCTAGCTTCCAAGGAGAAACTTGGTTTCACCCTCTCCTAGACAGACTTATTTGTTTTCTTGGCGGTCCATGGTATGTTCAAGACTCTTCTCCAGCACCACAGCTCAAAGGCATCAATTCTTCTTCTGTCATCCTTAGTTATTGTCCAGCTCTCTGATGCATAGCAAGTAATTAAGAAGACCATGGCCCAGATTAGGCACACCTTAGTCTCTAGACTAACATCATTGCCTCTCAGTACTCTGGGGAGGTCCATGACAGCAGATTTTTCCCAATCCAATTTGTCTTGAGTTCCTGACTGCAGGTGC